AGTGTGCAGGAGGAGTGTGTGTATTAACCCCTCTCTCTTTGTCAGGGCTGTCAATAATGAGTTGTTGGACACCTACCAGTTGAAGTCCCTGGATGGGCTGGTAGAGGGCGCTCTGGAGCAGCTGGCTGTGGTCCGGGACGGTCAGGGTCGGCTCTACCTCACCCTTGCGGAGCTTCTCCATCACCATGGCAACAGCACGGCGGCGAAGCTGGGGTCCTCCATTCCAGGACATTACCATGACAACTTCTCTCTGCGCCGGCCCTACGATCGCATCCTTCGCTGCCTGGGGTTCAAGTTCAACTTCTCCATCTTCGACAGGTGGGGGTACACGGGGGGCTGCACACAGCTCAGGGTGACCCCGACAGCGCACTGCCCCCTGCTGGCTCGGGGTGACCCCGACAGCGCACTGCCCCCTGCTGGCTCGGGGTGACCCCGACAGTAATGTGTGTGTGTGTGCACTGACACTTTGTATCTGTGTCACTGTGTGAGTCTGTGTGTGAGTGTGTGTCTCAGTGTGTGAGTGTGTGTATCTGTCTCTCAGTGTGTCTCTCAGTGTGTGTATCTGTCTCTCAATGTGTGTGAGTGTGTGTATTTTTCTCTCAGTGTGTCTCTCAGTGTGTGTGAGTGTGTGTATCTGTCTCTCAGTGTGTGAGTGTGTGTATTTGTCTCTCAGTGTGTCTCTCAGTGTGTGTGTGTCTCTCAGTGTGTGTGTGTATCTGTCTCTCAGTGTGTGAGTGTGTGTCTCAGTGTGTGTGTGTGTGTGTCTCTCAGTGTGTGAGTGTGTGTGTATCTGTCTCTCAGTGTGTGAGTGTGTGTCTCAGTGTGTGTGTGTGAGTGTGTGTGTGTGTCTCTCAGTGTGTGTGTGTATCTGTCTCTCAGTGTGTGTGTGTGTCTCTCAGTGTGTGTGTGTATCTGTCTCTCAGTGTGTGAGTGTGTGTATTTGTCTCTCAGTGTGTCTCTCAGTGTGTGTGTGTCTCTCAGTGTGTGAGTGTGTGTGTGTCTCTCAGTGTGTGTGTGTATCTGTCTCTCAGTGTGTGAGTGTGTGTCTCAGTGTGTGTGTGAGTGTGTGTGTGTGTGTCTCTCAGTGTGTGAGTGTGTGTACCCGCTGACGCTCTCTCTCTCTGTGTTCAGCTCAGTGGCGCCCCCTGTAGCCCCAGTGGGCCGGGGGAAGTTCCCTGCGGTATCGGGGTGGTACGAGTCTGTGCGCTCGCCTGGGCTCTTCGTCATCGGGGCGGCCGCGCACTCCCGCGACTACCGCCAGTCCGCGGGGGGGTTCGTCCACGGCTTCCGCTACACAGGTAAGGCGTCACGCTGGGGGGCAGGGGCAGTCTGAGGGCGTCGGCACTCCCTGCCCGGTGCCCTCGATACTGTCGGTCACTCCCTGCGGTGCTGGTGCCCTCGATACTGTCGGTCACTCCCTGCTGTGCTGGTGCCCTCGATACTGTCGGTCACTCTCTGCCCTCGTGAGTGTCGGTCACTCTCTGCCCTCGTGAGTGTCGGTCACCCCCTGCGGTGCTGGTGTCCTCGTGAGTGTCGGTCACCCCCTGCGGTGCTGGTGCCCTCGTGAGTGTCGGTCACCCCCTGCGGTGCTGGTGTCCTCGTGAGTGTCGGTCACCCCCTGCGGTGCTGGTGCCCTCGTGAGTGTGACCCGCTG